CCTCTGTGGCCAGGCTTTATCTTCCTGAAACACACACATGGTTATATCACTCCTTGGCTTAAAAACATGTGATGCAAAACTATATGTATGTTAAAAATTCACAGAACTATGCACAAAGAAATGAGTGCATGTCCACACTGTGAAATCGGATACGGTCTGCTGCTTAGGTGCTGGTACTGTTCGAGGCAGCACCCGGTTTGGATCACTGTACTGTGGTGATTGTGTAACATGGCAGCACTGAGGGGAAGTGAGGACACGCTGGATCTCTCTGCACTAACTCTGCAACTTTATTTTCACATCTAAATTTTTTTTAAGTTTAAAAAAAACATGCAGCACGTCTGCAGGGCAGAAGATCATTCACCTTACTAACAGCCTGGCGCAGGAGGCTCTTCCAGGTACCACAGCTCCACACATGCTGCGTTTTCAGTCCTCCGAGTGCAGCACGTGGCTCCTCCCCTCCGCATCCTGGTTCACGCTCTTGCTAGGACCCCTTTCTCCTGCTCCACCTGGCACACTTTAATTCATCTTTCAAGGCTGAGAAAATAGTCCCTCCTCAGTGAGGCCCTTCCACCTTCCTTAAACAGAACCAACCATGCCTTTCCAGAGAGCTTGGTCTTGTTTTGCCAACTGTTTTATTTAAAAAAGGAAAAGACCAAAAGGCCAAAAGCACCCACCATTCCATTCCTTTGCTATGGGGCTGGGTGGACATAAGTATAAAGTAAAACTATTAACACCTCCCAGTCCGTGCCCCTAGTTCTGCGTTTTCACGGAGTCTCTGCCTCCAGGCTTTTCTCTTGGCTGTTTATTGGCCGCCCCTCCAGCAAGAGAATCAGCAGCACTCTCCCTCCTACACTCAGCAACTACTGCACAGCCTGGGGCGTGGCAAGCATGCCATTAATCTCCATTCTCGATGGACCACAGCCCTCAGCAGCTATGACTGGGAGGGAAGACGCCTGGGCTAACTCTACCCTTGTTTTGGACGCTAAACAAGGTTCTGAGTATGAACAATGAGTTCTGATGGAACCCTGGCTTCCATCACCCTCAGTTTAGGTTTTCTAAATAAAGAGGATTCTAAGACATTCATGAACTCAGGGTTACTGCAGAATGTGGCAAAGTAGAAGTCAACATGGATTATAAAGCCAGTGCCCCCTAGAGAAGCACCAAGTCACAGAGCAACAAATACACGTTTAACAGCAGGCGGCGACGTGGAGAGAAGGCGAATTCACTGATATATGCACTCACCACATACGTGTTGATGTCCAGTTTTTAGCAGATGCTATTTATACCAGAATCATAACACAAGCACCATCCATCTGCCTCGGCATCCAGAGAAAACATAATTCAACACAGGAGGGAAAATGTGTGCAGCCAAACAGAAATGGCAGCAGAAGTGGAAACTTGGAACCAGTATCATGGGGGGAGATGATCACTTGACTAAATTGGGAAAATTGCAAGCGACACAAAGGACTTTGGCAGTTAAGTCCGAATACTTGAGAGAAATCTCCTCCTGGTCTACTCCAATACCAAATGGATGGTCTGCTGTGCTTTGGGACACATATCCTAGAAAGTTCCCCCTTCAGCCTTCCGTACGCTTGCTCGGCCATTTACTGAGCACCTAGTGGGAACATGAAGAGTTTGGAGTGAAGAAGACCTGGAGCCCAAGAGGTTCCACCACCTTCTGTGCAAACGTGCAAGGAAATTAACCTCCTCCCTGCTCAGTTTCCTCATTTGCAAAGTGGAAATAATCTTTCTCTCTAAAGCAAGTATTCTGACCTGGAATCTAGGGCTCAGGTCCATATGTGTGCTTCCGGAGAACTTCAAAGTCTCTGAGATTAGATGCCAAGTGTGCCCTAGCCGGTTTGGTTCAGTGGCTAGGGCATTGGTCCGTGGACTGAAGGTTCCCGGGTTTGATTCTGGCTAAGGGCACATACCTCGGTTGCATGCTTGATCCTGGGCCCTGGTTGGGGAGCGTGTGGGAGGCAACTAGTTGATGTGTCTCTCTCACATTGATGTTTCTCTCTCTCTCTTCTACTCTCTCTGAAAAGCAATGGAAAAAATATCCTCAGGTGAGGTATATATATAGAAATGCCAAGTATGTGTGACATGATTTTTTGAGAAAGAGGAAGCATTACCTTCACCAGCTTCTCAAGGGGCAAGTGACCCCAAGTGGTTAAGTGCCATGCTCTAAAGGCTGTGGGAGGATTATGGGTAATGTATCTAAAGAGCCGGGCACAGTCGGCTGTGTTCACTATTTACTGGCTATTGTTAATTTTAGGTCGAGGGAAGGGACAGGAAGATAAATCAGACAGATCCCAGGGCAGAAGGCAGGTGGGCAGCTGCAGAGCGAGGTGCTGAGTGTCGTCACGGGGTCTTACAGGCCAACAGAGGAAGGCAAACCAAAGTCAGTCCAGAAAACCCCAGCAGGAGAAGGTGACGAGGTGGAGGCACCAGGTGAACCAGGTCAGTGACCGCCCACCACTGAGGTGCCCTCGATGCCCAAACAGGGCCTGGCACATGGCCGGTGCCCAGTGACTGACTGTGAAGTAAATGAGCAAACAAGCGAGTGAAACCACCCTAGGGGACAGGATAACAGCATGTACCGACTCCTAGGGGAAAACAAAATTCAGGTGTTTCTAAGAAGTACTGATACCCAGAATCATGCTTAAAACTCCACACAAGTGTAACGGCCCCACTCCCTCCCGAATCAGGGGGGACGCTGAGCCTACCCTTCGTCATTCAGTGGTTCTCAGGCTCTCCTGGGCTCTGTGATGAACCCAGGACAACCACTTTTCAGACCCAGGTGTGAGAAAAGCTTCATCGTTTCCAGAGGAATTAAAATGCCTTATAAAACTAAACAAAATTAATTCAACTTCCTTTTTCTTTCTCTTTTAAAACAATTTCTTTTTTCCTTGTGTTCAAGCTCAGAGCTGTTGGGGGTGGGGAATGTGTAGAGGGGTTGAGCAAAGAAGAAAAAAAAGAAAAAGAATTCCTGGACACTGACAGCAGTGTGGTGATTGTCAGGGGAAGGGGAGGGGGGAGGTGGAAGAGGGTATGGAGGGATAAATGGTGATGGGGGTGAATAAAATAAAGAAAAAAAAGAAGCTAAGTGTGCAGCCCACGTGTATTAACCCTCATGGACGGTCTGAATACCTTCTCTCCTCCTGACATCACTTTCGTACTCGATCTGTCCATGACCCTGACTCACATTTCTATTTTACCACATTTGTGTGTATTCTTACAGCCGTCTTGAGGCCGTAGCAGGATGTACAGAGTATTTACATGTCTGAGAGTACTGGAGTGCTCATCAAGAACATGGATCCTAGGCCCTGGCACGGCAGCTCAGTTGGTTGTGGGTTTGATCTCCGACCAGGGCACATACAAGCAGCACCAAATGAATGCAGAAATAAGCAGAAGAACAAATCCATGTTTCTCTCTCTCTGAAATCAATAAAAAATTCTGAAGAGAACACAGGTTCTATGAGGCAGCAGTCCTGGAAGAGAAGCCACACTCTACCACTTGTCTGCCTTGTAGCCCCTTCGCTGCCCTCCTGTAAAATGGAAACAGTAACTGTACTTTTCATAAGCAGCTGCTGAGCACTAAATATTTTTTCAAATGTATGGGAGGCTCCAAACTGTGCCTGGGACATAGTAAGTGTTCAGGGAGCATCAGCCAGGAGTAGCAGTCACAGCTGCAGTACTAGCTGAAGTAGTAAAACTGCAAACACACAGAGAAAAAAAATAACGAGAGAAAAAAATAACGATGCCACCTGAAACAGGGTAAACGAAACCAAACAGTAGTTAAAGGTCAAAACTAAGAGGAAACCGTGGAAAGCAAACCTCCCGTCTTGCAAGGGTATCTATTCACGTGCTATCTACGCCCGCCCTTTTCTCAAACATGTCCCTCCCCTTTACGTCTGCTCTCCCAAACAGTGTGGATACCCTGGACAGCATCATGCCGAAACTAATCTTCAAATACCATAAGAATCCAACCTATGCGATTTTACAAGCCTACATGTGGGGTGATTTTAGACAAATACACTTTACAAAAGGCAAGGGACTGTCAGCTTCCTGTCTCACCTGCAGTTTCTCACCCACATCATCCCGCAGTTCATTTTTCCACCCCGGCAGGGGCAAGGGGTCAGCCGAGCAAACCTCGGGGGGACTCTGGCCACCTACTAACCCTAAGCGTTCGCTCGGGATGCGCACCTGCTAGGGAAGTCTACGAAAGCCGTCGTCCTGTTAGCAGCCAGCGGCCGCCCGGGAGATTCCTGCTCGCGGCGGGTGCCCGGCTTGGGACCATCCTCCTGGAGCTGCTCCGGTCTCCAGGCGCCAGCAGCCGAGGGGGCTCAGCGTGGGGAAGGGGCGGGCGTCTGGAAAAGAGCGGACAGAGCTGGAGCATAAAGTCCTTATTTTTATTTATTTATTTTTTATTGTAGACACCGCAGATATCCCCCTCCT